TTTTACAACCTTGTGTATTTGTACAACCATTGCAACCCATTTAATTGAGATATTTATAGAAATGATGGGAGTTCATTTATTATGATTTGAATATTTATGGAATATGAATAGAGTTCATTAATTATGATTAATACTTTATATTATGAAACAATCAAAACTTCTATGAAATCACATATTCATCAAATGAAATGGACGGTTGAGATTGAGTTGTATTGGTTGTACAAATGTCAAGGGTTGTATAATAACCAACCTCTATATATATATATATATATATATATATATATATATATTGTTTTCAATTGTTATCACCTAACATTGTTCTATGTTTGTCAATTGTTGAATAACTTCAACTAGATGCACAGAAAGATAAGCTAGCGGCCGACGAGCAACAAATGGAGGAAGGACAAAGAAAGAGAGAAGAATTGGAGCACGCACAGAAGGAGCAAGCAGATTAGATAGCTCAACAAGCAAAGGAGTTACTTCGGCATTTGAAACATTCATGGTGCAGTACCAAGCCATAAATCCTCCCCCTCCTCTTCCTTCCCGGTCTTAGAATATACTCTTAGAATTGTTCTCCTTTGGATATTATACTTTTCTAATATAATTTACGATTTTATTATAAAACAATTTCGTTTTAATTTTGCAATTTATTTTGAAAATCTGGACATGTTTATTGTACATGTAATTAGGTTTTTTAAATTATATTTTTTCAAAAAATGTATTTCGGACGGATTACCAACGAAAACTCCGGTCGGAAGTTTTATTTATTTATTTTTTTAATATCCGTTGGAAAGACGCCCATAATCCGTTGGAAAACTAGACCGTCGGTAATCCATCGGAAATGAGAGTCGTGGGTGATTATTTCTGTCGGTAAATTTATCGGGAAATTTATCGGTAATTCCTTCTCTCATGGTGCATTTTCCTACGCTTACCGACGGATCCCACATTTAGAAAAAGAGTAACACAAATATTATTACTAATCAAATTTATCGATTTTGCTGTTTCTTTAAAAAAAAACCCTGAAAAATCAATATATGGTCTTGTTCTAAATTTCATATCTAAATAAGCGAAATGCACTCGTTATTCTAGCATCCAACATCAGAAACCATAAAAATCACTTGAGCTACATGTTTCTCAAAGGGGAATCTTGCCAAAAATAGCTTAAAGATTAAGGTTATGTTTAATAAATTAGATAATAATTGATAAGTTAGTTGCTAGCTAGTTGATAAATTAAATACATTTGATAAAATTAACTCATAAACTAGCTGAAAAATATAAAATGATCCAAAAATAATATGTTTAAAATTTAATAAATTTTAAGATTTAATAATACATTTAAAACAATTCACCAATAATATAAAATGTTAATTGATGCAAATCAAAAGTTAAAAAATTTAAATAATAGAATATATATTGATTAATAGATTTCAAGAGTCTTACCCGGTAAGTGGGAACGACGACTATTACCACGGTAAACACTTATCGAGTAAATTGTTACATACAATGTCGTTTTGATGGACTAAAATCTTACCCGATAAGTAAATAATATTCCCATTAAATTATATTAAGAAATACGACCACAGTGGATAATTGTAAAACCAGGTCTCGAGTACGTAGACAATAATACACCCACTCTTACGATTGGTGATCGTATTACCTATTGGGCCCCGCCTTAATATTATACACATGCGCACACTCTCTCTCTCTCACACACACACACAAAAAAAAAACTAATTTAATTTAAAAAAAAAGTCTCTCATCTCTGCTATCTTCTCTTTATTCTCTTTTATTTTCTTCTCTCCATAACATACATGCATACACACAGTTAAATATGTACACTAGATAGACACGTTGTGAATGTATTTTTAGAAATACTATTATAATTGTGAACACATTTTAAGTCTACGAGATTTGGTATAGTTTGTGAGCATATTGTGAATATCAACTAAAACGATGAATCTAAATCTAAATCTACCACTTCTGAATACATTGTGAACACCCTAGTACTAAATTTTCTTAAGGTTGTTTTCATTGTATTCACCTTGTGTACATATTTAATCGTGAATGCATTAATTATCTTAAATTAGTGATTTAGGATGAATTCTCGTAGAATGTGGAGTTCTCAAATAATTAAGTCTCAATATATATGAGCAAATCAAAAGAGAATCATAAAAATGTTATAAACCCGTGAGACCCGATCTAAAAATGTTTTTTACATGACCTTTTTTCTTCAAATGCTATAATTTTAGATATTATTTCACATAGTTGGTTGCATAGTGTAATAGTTTAACCATGTGAAACCTTTTTAGGTGTACTTTTCATTTCACTAAAATCTGTTTAGTTTTGTGGGAATGGAATTGATTTAGGGGAATTTGGATTTCAAATACATTTCATTCTCATGTTTGGTTTGTTAGATTGTTAGAATTTGAAATCTTATGATTTAATTGAAACCCTACCAACATAGGATTTTGAAATCCTTAGGTGGTGTTTGGGATTTCATAGGATTGTATGTAGTAAGGTTTTAAAATATGTTAAAAGAGTTGTGTTGTAATAATGAATTAATAAAAATGTAATTTATTTTTTTTATAAATTATTTATAAATAATGAAATCCAATTCCATTCCAAATCCTATAAACCAAACATGCCAATGATTTCAAATTCATTCCAATCCAAATCCCTTCAAATCCAAGTCCTTCCATAAAATTCAAATCTCTTAAAAACAATTTTGCAAACCATATGGATCCTAATAAGTAAACGAAAAAAAAATGTTTCATGTATAACTTTTTTACAAGGTGAACACAAACCACTACAAAAATGCGGAGTATCAGCAAGAAAGGTTTCCCTCGCAAATCCGTCGCTAAAAGAGTCATCTGTCGTTGATACTCCGTAAGTCAGATGCTCGTAGGTAATGCTATCAGCGACGGACCAACGACGGAAATCAGCGATGGACCAACGACGGATACTTTCAGCGACTGATCATCGAGTGAAAATATTCAGCGACAGATCAACGAGGGATCAACGAGAGAACTTTCAGCGAGGGATCAACTAGGGAACTCTCAGCGAGGGATTTTCCATCGCTAATCCGTGTTATGAAATGGCCCATAGCATTTATGTAAGGCGTGACTAACGCCATGGCGTCTTGAGGCATGTCATTGCCTACCGCGACGTGCGTTTTTTTTCAAATTTTTTTTATCTTTGTTGTTTTTACACTTTTCGCTTTAGATTTTACAATATTATAGATCTAACTAATCACATCACTCACAGTTTTACAAATTCATAAATGTTACAGACTCATTGTTAAAATGAAGTTGTAAAATTATTTTTTTAAGTTTTATTTCAAATATTTAATAAAAAGACCTATTTTTATAACAATAATCTATATAATTTTTCTTCTTATAATATGAATGTACATTTTCGTAATAATAATAGTATCTGATTAGATTATATATAGAAAGCATATGTATCTATATATAATTCTATATATGACATATAAATTTGTTATCTTATGTCATGCCAACCTTCAAAGTAGGAGTTCGGGATCTTGTCCGGTTGGCAATCCTCTCTTCGGTCCTAGCTGAGAGTGTTCAAGCTGTAGATGGTTCCCAACTTGTTTCTAGCGGTACTTCTCTTATGGGCTCGAGGYAAGACAAGCAGCCCGCTTCACTTCCTTGCCGAATAGGAGACTTCGTTGCACAATCGCGAGTCTCCTTTTTGTTCAGTCATAGGTTGGTCCAAAGAACGAGAGTCGGCTTCAAAAACCAGACGGAATAGTAGGTATAACGTAGGCGGGAAAAGAGATATTCAGAAAAGTCGATTTTCTATTATGTGGTTCTAGAGGACCCTGAACAAGAAGAGGCAAAGATGCTGCTAGCTATGCCTTGCTTGGTCCCCCGGCATGAATTTAGGAGTCTTTGTGTGAGCCGTACGCGGTGAGAGTCGCACGTACTTTATCTAGGGTAAAGTCCTCTTAAATGGACCGCCTGACTGGAGCTTTGTCACATGTTCCTTAAAAAACGTCACGTCCTCGTCGTGGCATGTAAGGCTTGATGCTTGACTTCGCCACCACGCCGCACCTCACACCTTTTTGAACCTTCACTATGGATTGGTTGTCAAATGTCTAGAATGCCCCATTTAACTTGCTAATTGCTTTTTATCTAATAATTAGTTTCAAGTTTAAAAAATATCACAAAAATGTCATCGTCTTTCATAGTCGTAAACTAAATTCAATTAATAATTAAGATCGGTTCTCACAGTCCTCAACCTTTTTTTTGGTTCATCAACACAGTCGTACACCATACACACATACACATAGTCATGCCGCTTCCTGCCATTAGTTTTTTGCCCACATCCTACTGTACTCTCTCGTGTGCCGCCTCTGACATATAGTTCAGTTGGTAAAAAAGTATAATGACTTTGTCCAAATACAACGGGTGGAGTAACTTTATTCAAATAAAGAGGTATAGTGACTTCGCCTCCTTCAGATGCAAAGTGATTCAAAAAAATATCCCATCACATTGATGTCCTTAGAGGCCGGTTTCGTGTGAAACTAATTAGAGTTGTCAATAATCAACTTTTCGCCAAATTCCCTCTCGCGTGCCATTTTTTTTGCCAAACCGATATCAGTACAAAATGGTCCAAAGTTAAGTAGTACATTATAATTAAATGGTCAACTTTTTTTGTACAAAAATACTAGATTGAAACTTCAAAATGAAGCAAGTTCTTCTTGAAATGCAATGTACACGAAACAAATACAAATAGATTTGGTCCATTTATTTGGATCAAAATATGAAACACCCAATAGGTTTCTTTTTCATATTAAGAAGAACAAAACAAGGGAATTGAAAATTCATATTGAAAGATAGAAAATTGGAGCAATTTGTCTGTTAACGAATCCCAATGAATATATACACATCACTTTATATATATATATATATATATATATATATATATATATATATATATTCTTTGCTGAAAGAAGTGGGAAGCATGCTGTTTCTCTCACACTTTACCATCCATACATACATACATACATACTCTCCTCTGTGTCTTTCCTTTTCTTGGACTGCCTGCTGACACCATTAAACCTTTGAGTTCACTTCCAGTTTTATATCCTCACCACCACCATCACCATCACCATCACCATTACCACTTCAATATGGGAAACTACCATGTCATTCACATGTGATTTATATATAACAATCAATTTTGGTGTTTTCTTGGTTCAAACCAACTCTTTCCTTACTTTCTCTTTCATTTCATACCACAACCCCCCAAAACCACCTGCTTCTTCTAATTTCTAGCTCCTTCCCATGGACCTTCAACCTGTTTTCTGCTGTTTGGCTTTCTTTACCACATGGGTTTCTTCTGCAACTGCTTTGCTTTCTCCCAAAGGTGTCAACTTTGAAGGTACCAACTTCTCTAAATTCCTTCATTCTTGATCAAAATGCAAGATTTTCATCATATTTGTGAATTTGCAGTGCAAGCTTTGATGAACATCAAGAATGGTTTAGAGGATCCACACAGTGTCTTAAACTGGGATGGAGATGCTGTTGATCCTTGTAGCTGGACTATGGTCACTTGTTCTTCTGATAAACTTGTTATTGGCCTGTAAGCTGCACCCAAATTAATCTTGATATAAAATTACTGAATTTTACTTGGTTTTGAGTCAAGATTAACGTTGTGTAATCGAATTGTAGAGGAAGTCCAAGCCAAAGTCTTTCGGGTTTTCTTTCGCCCAGTATCGGTAACTTGACGAACCTCCAAACAGTGTAAGTACTACTAGAACTAGAAGCGTAAACCGGTTCGATGTACAAACGGTGTTGCTGATGGTACAAGTTTGCAATGCAGGTTGCTACAGAACAATAGAATCTTAGGTCCACTTCCATTTGAGGTTGGGAGGTTACCTAAGCTTCAAACACTTGATCTTTCTAATAACATGTTTACCGGAGAAATCCCACCTTCACTAGCCAATCTCAAGCATCTCCAGTATCTGTAAGTATTTAATGCTGTGAAATTACCATTCTGCCCTCCATTTTTGTATTCAAATCTAGTCATGATTTTGGTTTGTATGTTGTAATTATTGTTTTTTTTTTTGGGATTTTGAAATGTAACAGGCGGCTAAATAATAACAGTCTCACTGGACCAATTCCTCAGGCATTGGCTAACATGACCCAGCTCACGTTTCTGTAATAAGTTGCCTTTAATTCCCTTTGTTGACTGATTTATCCTCTTCTTTTTTGGATAGATTGACTGATTTACCCTTTTCTTTTGGTAGAAATTGACTGATATACCCTTCCTTTGTTGAATATGATCTGTTATTTTATTTCAGGGATTTGTCCTTTAATAATTTAAGTGGTCCTGTTCCAAAGTTTCAAGCTAAAACATTCAAGTAAGTTTCACGTCTTTTTAGGTCAAATTTGTAATTTTTATACTCAGAAATAAAAACGATGCGTAATTGAAATTTAGACCTGAGTATCATGTATTTGTAACATCTTTTATAAACCCAATTTGTGTTTAACAAACCTCATTAAAAAACCCGAAGAAGTCGTCAATTATATATGTTTGCCCCTACCCGAGGTAACTGTTTAATATTGCCGTTTTAGCTCATTGTTTTGTTTTTGTTTTTGTTTTTGTTCGACTCGCAACTATATGAACAGTATTATGGGAAATCCAATTATATGTGCGACCGGGATAGAGCAAGATTGCAACGGAACAACACTCATGCCAATGTCACTCCCTCTCGGTACTCAACAAAGTGAGCCTATACTCTCCTATCTGTCAAAAAGTTTCCTAGTACAACAAATTCGGCTTTATAGGATACTAAAAACGTCGTAATAAACTTTTTTATAAGGCAAAATGATTGTGTGTTATATATAAAAGTGTTACTAGAGGATGCTAGGACGATATTTAGGTATCCTAACGAGTTTTTCTATGAAACTTTAAAATAAAATGTCTTATTAATTTTTTCGTATTGACACGTTGAAAAAAACTAGCATGAGAACACATCCTTTTATAAGATCCTTATTTTTTACGTTACCTTTTCAATAATGTCATATAAAAAGACTAATAAGACATTTTATTTCAAAATTGTGTTAAAATTTTGTCACGACACCCAAAATTGTTCTATCAAGTTATTGTAACATATTTACATAGAAGAAACAATTGTGTGATCCTATAAACGTATGTTTTGTAAAACAGTCTACTAGAGCATTTAAACATATTTGTGTCTTATAAAGCCGATTTTCTTGTAATACCTAATACGCGTGTCACCAAGACCTTACAACTATTAAGGTGTTCTCGCATACGAGCATTGACCAGATATCATATTTACCGCAATCTTTTTGACCATGTAGAGTCACAACCATCGGTCACGCCCAAAACTCACAAGATGGCTTTAGCCTTCGGGACAAGCCTTGGGTGCTTCTGCTTGCTGTTTTTCGGATTTGGATTTGTTTTCTGGTGGCGAAGACGACACAACCAGCAAGTTTTCTTCGATATCAACGGTTAGCATTTAAATACGTAATCAAATTTGTTTTCTTATTTGTAGTTGAGTTTAACGTTGGTTAGACTTTGACAATTTATCCTCAATATATATTTAAACCTTCGTTCCGGAGAGCAAGGTTTCACATTTTTTTTTGTCTCGACCATTCGGTAAACTTCGTTTTGGTGTTCAGAACAATATAGAGAAGAAGTGTGTCTGGGGAACTTGAGGAGATTCCAGTTTCGGGAACTTCAGGTCGCAACAAACAACTTCACGAGCAAAAACATAGTCGGAAAGGGCGGTTTTGGGATCGTGTACAAAGGGTTTCTCTCGGATGGAACGGTTGTAGCCGTTAAGCGGCTCAAAGATGGAAACGCGGTTGGTGGAGAGATCCAGTTCCAGACTGAAGTCGAGATGATCAGCCTAGCCGTTCACCGAAATCTTCTTAGACTCTATGGTTTCTGTATGACGACATCGGAGCGCCTTTTGGTATACCCCTATATGTCCAATGGCAGTGTTGCTTCTCGTCTTAAAGGTAAGTCCTATAAAACAGTCTATTGGGACATTTAAATATTATGGTATTCTACAAACCCGTTTTTTGTGGTTGAATGTTAGATTGATCGTATGATGGATTCTTGTTGCAGATAAACCGGCGCTAGATTGGGGTACGAGGAAGAGAATTGCATTAGGAGCTGCAAGGGGCTTGTTATATTTGCACGAGCAGTGTGACCCGAAAATAATCCATCGAGACGTGAAGGCTGCAAATATACTGCTCGATGATTACTACGAGGCCGTGGTGGGTGATTTCGGGCTCGCAAAGCTTTTAGACCACCATGATTCACATGTTACGACAGCTGTCCGAGGAACTGTAGGACATATCGCCCCCGAGTATCTCTCCACCGGCCAGTCATCGGAAAAAACCGATGTTTTTGGTTTCGGGATTCTTTTGCTAGAACTGATCACTGGCCAGAGAGCTCTAGAATTCGGCAAATCTGCAAACCAGAAAGGTGCGATGCTCGATTGGGTTAAGAAAATTCATCATGAAAATAAACTCGATATGTTGGTAGATAAGGACCTGAAAACTAGCTACGATAGAATCGAGCTGGAGGAGATGGTTCAAGTGGCGTTGCTGTGCACACAGTATCAACCGATCCAACGGCCGAAGATGTCTGAAGTGGCTCGGATGCTGGAAGGTGACGGGCTAGCCGAGAAATGGGAAGCATCTCAGAGAGCCGAATCTAATAGAGGACGAGCCAATGAGTTCTCGTCTTCTGAGCGATATTCGGATCTGACTGATGACTCCTCGTTGCTTGCCCAGGCAATGGAGCTATCGGGACCCCGGTGATACAGACACCGAGATGACAAATAAAACAACGGATTTCTGATTGAACAGAAACCTAATTACAGTTCATAACTGCTTGTTTATTTTATATGGTTTTGGAGTGGAAGAAAATTTATGAGTGTTGATCTTGTAAGAGGAATGTTGTATAAATTTTTGCTGTTCATATCAGAGAATGGTTTTCTTCTGAAAATAGTCTTTGATCAAAAGTGAATCTAGAGACAATAAATTCATATGAAATTACACCTGATCTTGAACAAATATGATTTCAGCTTCTGCTGATGCTCGTCGAAACCTCAATAACTCGATCAATAAGTTTAATCTTCCCTCGGTCACATACACACTTGGAGTGATGCTCATAATCTCAAGAACCGGTGAACTTCCAAGCAAAAACTCGATGAATCCCATTTCGTGTGGAACACCCGACATATCTGTCATCTTTACAATCTTAAGCTGTTCAAATGTGCAGTCGCAGGGGCATTCCTTCTCCCAGAAATCAAAATCCGGAGCTTCGCATGCAGATGATGAATTTGATGAACCCTAAATAAATAAATAAAATGCAAATCAGAACAACATTCGATTGGGGTCAAATGACTTACATTTCATCTTCAAGATTGATATAAACATTCTTTAAGATTTCAAGTAAAAAACTTGATGGTTAAATAGAACTTCTAACAAGTACTGTAAAGTGTAAACTACAAGACGTCGGTATGAATTTGTAATAAATCTTGATGATTTATATAATGAACTCACCGAAATTTGAAGTTCTTGGAGATTAGGGGCGTTTAAGATCAAACGAAGAACCACCATTATTTCTTTCATGTCCTCAAAGCTTACTTGATAGAGTTCGATAACCTTTAGCTGCTGATACGTCATCTGAGTTTTCCCTAGGGTGTTACCTATACTCATATACTGAAAAAGGGATGAAAACCAATCCATTAGCTAGCAAAATTTGAAGTTTCAAGGTATGCGCAAGGCAAAGTTATCAAAATCTTACCTTTGTAAAGTAAATATGCCCGATGAGCCTCTGAAGGGACGGTACACCGCCAAGAAACTTATCAAAATTGCAACTTGAACTTTGCCCAAAATGTTCAGCAATATCATCGGTCATATACATGGCAACTGATATTGCAATTAACATAGGAGTATTCTCGAGACATATATCTTTAAATTCACCTTCCAAGATTAGGTACTTAAGGTTTGGAGCGCGAATGGTGAGTTCTAAACTATCGAAGTATGATAAAGTTAAGCTCTCAAGAAGCGGGCATCTCGAGATAAGATTCTCAACAACATCAGGAGCAATAAGAACCTGTTGAAGATTAAGGTGTTTCAAGAATAAAAACCCTTTGAAAGACAATGGAGGGTCCAACTCACATCTAACAAGCTCCAAACGAACCAGTTTCCGACAAGAGAAAAGACAAGAAGGTGCTCTAAACCATTCCCCTTCACCCAACTCAAGAATCAATTCTTTTACATCTTTTCTTGATAAAAAGAGCAGCCATTGATCTACATCAGGGGAGCTTTGCAAATATGCAGTAGATAGAGTGAACCTGTGAATAGGACCATCGTGAAGAAAAAGGAACCGACTCACAAACTTCACAAGATTCATCTCTGCAAGCGCTCTATCGTGGGTGCCGTAAACACACTTATCATCAAACTCAAGTTGTGTAAGGCTAGCCCATTTGTATCTCCATTTACCAGATAATATACTCGTTCTCACAGCATCTCTTAATGGCATCTTGGTAAGTATAGTTTCGATAATACTTTGAGGAAGATCGCTTATGTAGTCTTCCCCAGGGGGAAATTCCATGTGCATTTTGCCCCTTTTGTCCTACAAAATGAGCTACATTTTACCAACAATTTAGATCATATCACCCGAAAACAAGTTAGAAGGAAAGGTACATTGTATCAAACACATTCCTTTCAAAATTCAAGATTGATATGGATCTTGATTGAAATTCAACTCCAACATGCTTATAACTTCTTTTTCTTGAAAAATTCAACAGCCCCATCAAGATTCAATTTGAAAGTTACTCCATTTGACCTCAAAAGTCAAACTGAAGGACTAGTATATAAGGAAACACACTAGGGTTTGTAGACAATGTATTAAAGAAGAACCTTTTCAGGGTTCCTATTTCTAATCTACAAATTCTAAGGCCAATTCAGGAACCCAATAAACCTAAAGAATTTAAGTGCAAGCATCTGGTTGCTACAGATATTAATGTTGAATGAATTTTATCAAATTTGGCGCCAGATAAACAAAATCAATCACACAGTTGATTAAGGAACATCGATAGGCCTACCATGAAATCGCTCAAGAATGCCCATATGTTCATATGGAGTCAAAACTTAAGCATAGAAATAAAAGAAGACAGATTCATACACTTCTAGAAATCATCAACAACCCTATTGGGAAATCGAACAAAAAAGAAACTCGTACTTTTTAAATACTTCAAAGCTAGTATAAATAATTGATTGAATTGATTTAGCCATCAAACAGGAGTGCTAGTGAATGTTTTGCATCAAATCGCAACAATTTGCGAACTTTAAAAAAGAAGCGAGGGGAGAAATAGTCACACGATCAAACCCATATGAAGAAAAAGGCAGATCATGATAGATTAAATTAGGTATCCAGGGTGATTGTAAAAAGAAATAAAATTCCAAGAAATTAGACGTGAAAGGGGGGAAGATTCGTACCTAAAGATTGAGACTGATGATCCTGTGTGATTCTGATATCAGAGAGAAGGAAGTGAGGGAGACGAAGGATGAAAGCCAGATTATGTCTCCACTTTCCTTTTATGTTTGAATTCTGAAATACGACTGGCCCTATCATGCACGGCCCATTTGCAAAAGGCCCAATCATACCAAAACCGAGCTTTCAAAAATCTACTAGTTCTGTATCCGCGCAATGCAGCAGGAGGCATGAATTTTAACGATTTTAAAGTTTCACTGGTTTTATAAGATAAATTTAACGATTATATAGGTTACACTTGGTCTTTACATATTAATACAATTTAAATAAATAAGAGTTATGGTTCCAATTACAGACTATCGATGAAAAAAAATTGTATGACAGTTTAAAATCCAATATATTTAAAATCCAACATATTTAAACGACTCCACAAATGTATTCGATTTACATCAAGAGCAAAGAACCAAGAAACTTGAGTTTTAAGATAAACACTCAAAACCAATAAAAAAACTACAAATTTGACAGATCATAAGCCATGAAAAGACAAAAAAAGATGGGTTTTAGAATGAAATTTTAACTGTTTACCCTTTTTCTTGTCCAGAAACTCAGATTAAGGTTGAATTAATACATGTATATATATTTCAAAAAAACCCAAGAACATACTAATTCAAAACATATTATACAGTGCAATTTAGACAGCCTAACCCCAAAATATATAGTATATATATAAATAAATCTATATATCTATATAAAATAGAAACTTGAAGAGATGATGTGCCATCTTCTAAGTTTAGTATCTCATTTTTCCTTTTTTTCTAATTTATTGGCATTATTTTATTTTTCAACAATTTCGGGTTTTAACTCGAGGCTCTTCGTCTCTCAATCTCCTCTTTAGGTTTAATTTCAGACTCTTCAATAACTATAAAAGTATAAATCGTAAATATTAAAAATATTTTTTTACAGTATATATAATATATAATAATATGATTAAGTCAAAAACTATTCAATATTGGACTCATTTCGAAGGTATTAACGAGACGATTATAAT